CAGGCTCGGCGAGCCCCGCTCCTCTTTTTGTTCCGCGGACCCCAGGTAAGCAGCCTGCGTCGCCGCCACCCGCTGGGTGCGGATCTTTCCAGTACTTTCCCTGCCCGCTCCCTCTGGTCTCCCCGCTCGCTTTTCCTGCAAAGTCAGGCAGGCGGGGGAAATGGGCTCCTTGCCCTTCGATCGATTGCGTGGAAACTTTCCAGCGGGAGGCATCCTGAGGGGGAAGAAGAAGGCCTTCCTGGATGTTGTCGCTTGTCAGTTCTTTCTCCTGCGGGTCCGAGAGTGGAGTCGCTGCTCCCTGTGTGTTGCACATTCAAACTTCGGGCCTAAACGTGCCTCCAACTCTGGCAGGATTTACTCCAGCAATAAAATAAATATTCAGAGTTGTCCACTTGATCTTGCCAGGCGTTTGGCTTTTTAAGAAGAAGGAGACAGGCTCGGGGGTCGAGGGAAGTGGGAGTGTTGTGCAGAAGCCATTCCTTCTTTAGTGCCTGCACCGGTTGTTATGTAATTTTAGTAGCACATGGGTGCAGAACCCATTTGGGCTTCTCCCCTCCTTTGTTTATATAACTTTTGGGAGAGTTTTGCAAGGTTGTCGCCTGTTCTCCTCCCTGCCTGACCTGAAGGAGGTTGGTGCTTTTGAAAAATCAAAGCGACCCTGGTTCGTGTCATCGTTGTCATTATGTGCAGCCTGTCTTCCCAAGTATGTGTAATGGTAGAGCATAAGGAAGACATTAAGGATACACGTTTGTCTGCTGTATTGAGTGGTTACTTTTCACGTCTGTGCGTTACCAATAGCAGGGTTAAATTTTAAACTTCCATTTCAAAGGACTTACTTATTTACATCTGGTTATGCCATGCTTGTAGGAACAGAATGCTTGTATGAGCAGAGAGATTGTTGCTTGCATGTGGAGAAAATTCCTGCCCAACCAGTACAACTCAGAAACCACTGAGAGTTGTACTAAAATAAAAACCATGCCCAGTGTTGAATGTGTGTGTATTTCCTTACAGAGGCACATTCAGATGTTTTGGGTAATACTTTCCACCATTTATTTGGGGGACCATTACCCAAGGCTTGTTTGCCCACACTAGACTTGGTAGGCTTCCAGCCCACTGCTAGCACAGTGATAAAGTGTTAAGAGGTGTGTCAGGTTTGAAGGCAAGGTGGTGCATTGTTATGCAAATTGAGACACACTTTTAGGAATCTAATTGCCCTTTTATTCTAGATTTTTTCTTTCCTTTTTTTTTTTTTTTTTTTTAAAGCTTGCTGACAACTCAAACGTTAGCTGCTGGAAAGAAGGGATTTGGAGATACTTATTAGGTGCAAATGATATTTATTGGCATGGACTAAAGAAAAAACACCGCTAGACTGAGGTCCAGCTCTCTTGTTGGAAGGTATTAAAGAGAGACTCTGTATTGGTAAAGAATATTGTAGAATAAATTAGGAG